CTCCCCACCATCATGTTTGCTGGTAAGTAAGGCCACCCTCTCTCCTTTTGTGATATTAGACTCTCTGACGTTTGCGGTGCGTATGAATATTGCTTTAATCTAAACTCCTTTTTCGAATACACTAACTCTACTAGTTCCATGTTAGAGGTAAATCAGGTGGTTAAAGCATCTGTATTGTGGGTTAGATATCTATTTAGTATATCATACTGCTATGACTATGACTAATGGTTAAAGTCAAAAACCACAGGTCAGATTATATTTGGTTTAGAGATGGTGGGGATAGGTAGCAAACCAAAGAGTATGCAAGAGTCTAAAATTGTAACATTTTCCGATCATTTGAGTTCAAATCAAATATCAAAACTATAATCTTTACACATTTCTCCTCCTTAAATATTGCCTTGCTATTACATAATTGGGTCGCCTGAGTATTTTACTAACTTTAAAATCTAAACACGGGCGGCAATAACTCTATAAACGCTATTGTAAGGCCAGGGAAATGTCACTGAGCCCCAGCCAAATCATCCGGCAGTTGGATTGCTGAATGTCGAACAGATCATCGCTCCCTGCTAAGGTCATGTACAACCAACGCGCATTAGTTAATCGTATGCCATGGACTGGCCCATGCGGCAGTGGTCTTACTTTCGCTTGTATCTACTTCGACTAATATATTTCTGTAATAACGTCCTTTGTGTTGTACAGCCTTCAAAGCACCTATAGTACCTTGATGCGTCAATGAGGGTAGTCCACGTAAGGTGCTGACCACGAGGTGTGACTTCGATGTTAGTTGGTTCGTCACACCATTACCGTTCAACTCGGGTAGGCCTCCAATCATTTCGACATGGATCATCTACGTTGGTGATCTACACTATAATTACCTTTGGTATGTTGATATTTAGGCATGTACACTCTGGAACAGCTTTAAAAGGCCTTGAATATAGAAATATTTCTATTAGCCTTTCATGAAGAACTGTAGTAATTCTCTTGAATAAAGGTGGAGAGGCTCGTTAAGGCTAATAAGATTTTAATTGTTCTCAGCCATCATAAAGAAGTGATCCGACAAATGAGTCTTCAAAACAAAGTAGTACACATAAGACTGCATCAATATCGAGTATGCACGTCGTGCTACATATCCCTTGCAACTACTAACCAGTTTGAACCAAAAGCTCCTCAGCACATCGATGACTTTCGAAACATATTTTCGAAACTCTTCGTTTCTGACTTCCGATTTGATTGGGCTGATATCCTTTGAGTATAATCGTGTTACGTGTAAAGGCTTTGTCAGCTTCCGAATAGCTGTGCCATCTTGAAGCCTTGCATGAGCTTTGAACTTACGTCTTCAAACTGATTTTATTGCCTGTCTTTGAATATGTTTCCGTGTATTTTACTTCCGGAGAGAGAGCTGTAACGTACTCCACATGGGCTCAAATAAAGTTGTTAAAGATCGAGTCAGAAGTGTTGCCGTCCAACTTCCTTCATTCGTACGCGTAGTCTGTAACATGTCTTAAATGGGTTACTTAAAACTTAGAAGTGTTGAAAGTATGTCCTCTGTTATCCGCTCAGCATAGACTATGCAAAAATGAACGTCAAAGAGACTGGATTCATACGTAGTTATTAATGATCCTAAGGTAGTTATCGTCGGCTTTCACATAGAATTCCGGTGAGGTTCTTTTATAGTAAGCTACTTAGAATGTCTAGTCTTCTCACGAATGAGTCAATTAAAGGAGCACATACCTTTTCTCTAGGTAACAAGTTCCAATAATCAATGACTCGCTGTGTAAGCCTGTACGGCATAGGTATTCTGATCGTTCACGGCGTTTGTACTCGCCTCTTATTTTCTCCGAGTCGTCGTGACTTGATAGGAGTAAAAAGTGAGGGTATATCTAGTCTAAATCAATTATAAGTATTCTGTACATCGAAATAAAATCACCTCTTAATCTGCAGTTGGACAGAGTTAGGAAGTTGAGATTCTGAAGCCGCTCTTTGCATGGTAAACGCTAAAATTCTGAAATTGTAAGAACAGCTACTCCTGTACTCTTTCCAAGATATGTGAGTCACTATTTAAACAGGGGTTTATAGACTAAATTCAGTTCTGAAGTCTGAATCTCATTAAGTTTGTGTACACTATAGTGAACATTTTGGTATCCAACTTCGTAAATGTCCACCTTAAAGCCTGGAGGGCCCTGGATCCTTTGGCTACGACCACAGGGAGTCATGGTCTTAAGATAATGGCTAGTTCTCACCCCAATATACATGTGAGCCTGAAAACGACGGTCACCAACTCTTCCCCTTTGCTGTTCCTGGTTATCCTTGGATCCCCACTGAGCATGCAGACTCGCTTAGCCTCGTTGGTATGCATCAGCTAATGTTTTAGACCAGCTAACCAGAACATCTGGGTCCTCCTGAAGTGCACTTGCATCTATATCCTCAATCGTTTCTCACCAGATTTATGCATCATCAACAGTTTCTGGGAGTTAATTTACAGTATAAAATATAAAGGACCAAGGACGGAGCCTTGGGGTAATTCATTAGGTAGTGACTTGGAGTTTATTATTTAACACCTTATCAAGTACTTTGTTGGTCTACGTTAATAACATCCACTGATTTTGCATTATCTGGAGACTTTGTGCACCTCACTCATTCTGGGAGGAGGTTCGTTGTAACTGGCAGCAGAATCCGACCCAACGATTCCCCTTGTTTCTGAGGGATAGTGGGAGCAGCCGCACTACCAAACTTAGGCAGCCGGAGAGATCGAACCAACCACCCACTGTGTCGCATCTGATCACCCTTGGTTTTTTTACTTGAAACTTACCCTATAGCTCGGGCTACAAGATGTGCATGCTTACGTATGAGAACTACAGGAGTGAAGAATTATGGTCTACTATGATAATAGTACTGCCCTAACAATAGACCTAATCCTATAAGTGTAGAGTTGTCATGATACATCTGCCTATTCTATAAGATCTTACATGGAAGTCACATCATCGTCTACACCAACTCACTACATTGTAACAATTACCAATACATGGTAGAGAAAGAACTTAGTCTAGAGATAGAACAATATAATTAATATGAATAGAAGATATAAGGTAGCATTCAGCAGGGACCACGCCTTCATGGCCGGGCCATGTCATACGATCAACTCCAATTAATTCAATTCATTCTTCTTGCCCTCTTCGTCGTTGAGTTTTTCTCCGTGCTAAATGTTAAATATCTATTCCACACATTGTCTCGTATTAAGGCCCAATGCCACCACAGGATTTCTCTGACATATGTAGTTCAAGTATATAGGTACATGCAAAGGGTACGCATACGCTGATGTACAGAGGAAACGTTGAGCTGCAAAAATGTTTGCTCTATGTCTAATAAAATCAGCGGTTGATCTATCAGGTCGAAGATATAGTAAAAAGAGGTGGTAGCAAATACTAAGGTGGGGCGACTAAAGACCTCTCCTGAGATAGTTTTTATGTCTATGTGTGTATCAGGAAATGTTGGGGAGATAGCCATGATGTAAATGAACTTCGAATCAATATTCCCGCGTCCACTATTATTGGCCTTCTCTTAGTGTTACATGTTGAAAGTCTATTTTCCCGGTTATCTTATGTTCGGCTTCGATGATTGTAGTTGGGACCAACACCACTAAAAGTGTTCGTGTGTTACCTAGTATACATGCAAACTATACAGATCCAGGGCAATTGAAATTCATAAACATCTTAACTTTTGTTGCGTTACCATTATGCATGAAAAAGTCCGTTCTGGCTGGAACACCACACTACCGAGAGAGATCCATTTCACATTTTTCCGAGTCGTATGCCATTATCTCGACATATCGTATGGCTAAGATGCTTTTCATGCACAGGATAGCGCGCCACCCCTACGGTTCACTCTGTCAACCCCACAAAGTAAAGAAAACAAACAACTTTGCTTCACTTTAATACTTCTCTGGTGTTAATTGTATCTATGAAACGGCAAAGACATCAATGATTTATGTCAACCACGTTTATGAGTTCCGCCACTTTATTTGTGTGAAGTGCTTCTTTGTACTTCCCAGCGTGGTTCGATAATCGTCACAATATTGCCATAGCAATTACAACTAATACTCGAATCAGTGCACTTCCTTTGGAATGTTTACGTGTTTTGTGTGATGAAATGGTTATCCGTTTTTCTCAAAGTATTTTCTCATGATTATCAGACGACAGTGAAATTAGTTTGCATCTAAGATCAGTGTTGTTAGCACATGAAAAATAGACAACTCTAATTGCTACATTGATATTTTTCATAACTTCTTCTAGGCACTATCGTTTGGACTTAACTGAATTATGTGAAAACCGGGTGTACTAAACTTAAGAGGCTAAAAATAGCATGGATATGTTGGGGAGGTGGCTACCAATGTGCTGAAAAGCGTTCGATTCAAACTGGCTCATAAACAAAATATAAGACAACAAACGATAATGTTCTCAGACAGAGAACTACAGTCTTTTAAGCGTCAAAGCATGGTCTACAGCAAAACTACCAGGACTTAACTTAGCCCCGAAACGTTTCTCCATTATTAAGTGATGGTCTATATTTAAAGGAAAACGACTATAACTAAGCTTTCTACAACTTAGTATATCATTTCAGCATGTATTGCACCTCCCAGGGGTAACGCAGTCTGACATGGTGAAAAATTACAGTCGACAAAATTCATATCATGATCTGTTATTTCGATGAAATTCATTTAATAACATGAAAAGTCCATTGAATACATGAATTCAATAATGACTTTTGCTTCCTTCTACGTCAAACGTTGTTGGTGTTATAACGTTGAATAGCGCGCACGATGTCGGGGTAACGTTTAAGCTATAAAGGCGAGGAAGATCAGTTAACGTTCTACGGAATGATTTTGTAGTTCTATAGTAGTGATAGACTACTTGATGTGAGAACACCGAAAATCCGTAAAATCCAACTGACACTCAGCAAACTGACTGAGATTCAAATATGAAATGACAGCCGCATACTACCCGTTCAAGGTCGTTGAAACGAAACGGCGGGAGACTCGGAAAGGATTTTACGTTTTAACCGCGCCACACTTTAGGTACAGCAGAGGGCGGTAAGTTATGATCTTGGGGTCATCACTTTCTGCAATCTACCAGTTTCAAATTCGAACTATGAGCAGGGTTTTTTCTATAATTTAGTAATCACTGGAACTTTCATGTTCAACGTGCAGAGTGATGCACTCATCGTCATTGATGATCTTTAATCATGACTATTGTCAGTAGACCTGGAGTGCAAGTTCACTACCTTTTTTACTACCTATCCCCATATTTCGTAGTTATTAGTCCATAGACTTTTTTTGGGTTTGAAGAAATGTGGAAGGTAATCTAATATGAAATGAGGAGCGCTAATTAAAATGGACAGTGGTATTTTTCCTCGCTGTGTAAATTTTATTGTTTTGATCGTTTATTACGTATCAAGACTACTGTTTTCACTTGAATTGAATTTATTTCAGTTAATGTATTCGACTAGAGCATCGTTTACTGTTTGTCAATTAGTTTATCGTCGGTACTCTTAGTACTTTTGGTCCTAACAATCTACGGTTCTCCACTTTTTTGGTCATAGATCATTTTTTTGTCTTTGAGCATTGTTGTATCTCGCTCTTTTTTGGAAAGGACCCCTTTCTAATGACCGGACAGTGCAAAAAAAGCAGTTGCCAACGTGTACGGGTTGTCGTTATTCCGTTGAAAGCGGTATGCGGTGCGATGAGTGCAAAGGATGGTACCACGAAGTTTGCACAAATTTAACGCCTGCGGCTTTCAAAAGGTTCAGTAAAAAGGGCTGCGTTAGGATCAAGGAGAGTGGGAGTTCTGAACCAAAACCTCGCATTGAGCATGACATTGTGCTGATTAAACAGCTGCTTAGTCAACTCATGCCTCAAAATTTCACCGGGGTCACCTTGCTAAAGGTGTACAGACTAGGGAGTCTAACGGACTCGAAACCAAATCATTCCAGACTGTTTAAAGTAGTATTCAGCTCTTCGAACGAACGTGACCTAATTTTACAGAATGGACACAAATTAAAGGGTTCAGGAGTCTTTATCCGAAAGGACTTACCGTTGGCAGATCGTGTTAAAAGACGGGAAGCCGAGAAAGAACTACAACTTAGGTTAGACGCTGGCGAAAAGGACCTGAAAATTCTAAATTTTCGGGTTGTAAGACTTCGACAGAGAATGATGCCGAAGCCACTCTGGGTGAAGCACGAAGGCACTTAAACAGGCTTCGGATCTGTTACACCAATGCATGAAGCTTACTTAATAAGCGATCGGAACTAGGTGTACAGGTTGACTCTACAAAGCCAGACATAATCGCAGTAACAGAAACCTGACTGACACAGGCTATAGATAGTATGGAACTTGATTTCGGGGGTTTTGCGTTAGTGAGGGCCGACAGAACACAAAAGCGCAAAGGAGGGGGAGTAGCTCTATTCATTAGGAATGCTATCCCATTTGCTATTATCGACAATGTATCCCATGAGAGTGGGACGTGTGAATGAGTTAGTTGCCGCTTGAAATACAAGGGACAAGAGCTGCTGATTGGTTCGGTCTATCGCAGTCCAAGCTGTGAGGCAAACGAGATCCTGTTAAGCAGTCTCAATACTTGGTCCCAAAGTGGTCGATGTCTAATCCTAGGGGACTTCAATGCACCTATGGTAGACTGGGAAAATCTGCGAACTAAATCGTTGGAGAATTCTTTCGAGCAGGAACTGGTTGATGGGGTTATCACATGTGCCCTAGTGCAACATGTGAAAGAAGCGACAAGGTACGATCCGGACACTGAATCATCCTTATTAGATCTTATACTGACTCACTATGAGAATGATGTTGCGAACCTCCATCATATGCCACCCCTAGGTAAAAGTGATCACGCAGTTTTAACTTTCGACTTCCATATAACTGCCAGTCATGAGGACGCGTCAGTCCAGTCCAGACCCAACGTCTGGAAAGCAAACATACCAGACATCATGCACTCAACATCGTTAATAGATTGGACAATAGACCCAGAGTCCTCAATTGAAACGGCCTGGGACGCATTTCGAGATTTATACTTAAAAGTTACCACACCTCACATCCCTTGGACTATACCAAAGGGGCCGAAAAACTCACCACCATGGTTCAGTAGGGAGGTCCGTATCCTTCTCCGTAAGAAAAGGAGAATGTGGGATAGATTTAGGTTACTGGGGACTAATGAGTCAAAATCTCAGTATCAAAAGGCTCGGAATACTTGTGCCTCGACCCTCCGTAATTCTAGAAAATTGTAGGAAGGAAAACTTGTTAAGGAATCCATAGAATGTCCTAAACGCTTGTATTCCTATATAAGCCAAAGGACAAGGAGAAAAGGAAATATTCCTGCTCTATGGGGAGACAGTACTGCTTCATCATTAGTGGAGGACGACTTTGGTAAGGCTCAAGTGTTCTCGAACTACTTTAGCAATGTATATAACATAGAAGCACCCTTCCCGTCAGTGCATACAGATTCCCCCACATATACACTGGATAGCGTGACCATTAAAGAACTCGATGTCTTTGGTCTGCTGAATAAGCTTGACATAGGTAAATCCACGAAGCCCGACGAATTACATCCTAGGCTACTGAAGGAATTATCTAACTTCGTTGCGAACCCTTTAAGTATATGCTTTAACCAATCCGTAACGCAGGGTCGTTTACCAAAAGACTGGAAAAACGCCATAGTAAGTCCTGTCTTCAAAACAGGTACGAAACACAAACCTGGGAACTACCGCCCCGTTAGCCTCACTAGTGTGGTTGTTAAAATCTTAGAAAAGATTATTCGGAAGGAGCTGTTTAAGTATCTCGATAAAAACCGGATTTTCTCGGAGAAGCAGCACGGCTTCAGAATAGGTTATTCTTGTCTCACTAACTTATTAGTGGCTCGTAAAAGCTGGTGCGCTCTTAAGGACCAAAAGCTACCTGTAGACGTCGCCTTCATTGATTTCAGTAAAGCTTTTGACAAAGTTCAACACAACCGGCTGTTATATAAGTTAAGAAAAGTCGGGATTGGATAAAAGACTTCTTAGTTGGGCGTCAACAAAGAGTAAGGGCGAACTCAAAGTTATCTAGCTGAGAAACTGTGCTTAGTGGAGTGCCCCAGGGTACAGTTTTGGAGCCAGTGCTATTCCTCTTGTATGTAAATGACCTTCCTTGTCTCCTATCATCATCGGTCCTGCTATATGCTGACGATGTCAAGATATGGAAAACGATACGATGTAAGAGTGATAGCTTAGAACTTCAAAATGACCTGAAGAAGTTATCTGAATGGTCTCAAACCTGGCAGTTGCCGATAAATACTTCCAAGCGTGTTATGATGCATATCGGTCATCAAGGTACAGATACATACACGATGAATAACACTGAGCTACCTGTCGTCCAGACATATAATGACTTAGGAGTTATCGTTAGTCAAGACTTAAAGACTACTGCACACTGCCGTGCAATAGCCGCCAAAGGTTTTAGAACCTTATGGTCAATACGTAGAGCTTTTAGTCATGTCGACGCCAAAACGTTTTTGACTTTGTATACAGTGTTTGTTCGTCCTACACTTGAGTACTGCATACAAGCGGCTAGCCCCTGCTTAAAAAAAGACAGTGAGCTTCTGGAAAAGGTTCAGAGAACGGCGACTAAACTGATTCCCGGAATAGCGAAGCTTCCGTATGAAGTTTGATTGGCCAAGCTGAACCTTTTCCCCTTGTCATATCGCAGAACTAGAGGCGACTTGATTACAGTCTACAAATTGCTTAGTGATAAATTTGCACCTAATATGCCCTCATCTTTCTTGTCTTCCAAAACAGAGAATTTACGAGGACACTCCAAAAAAGTTCATAAGCCGAGAACAAATTACTTGTCAACTGACTATCGACTTTCCCATCGAATCATCAACGAGTGGAATTCACTACCTCAGCACGTGGTTGAGGCTCCATCCGTCGACTCTTTCAAAAGAAAGTTGGATCAACTAAGAGACCACCATTGCCAGAACTAACACAGGCCATCAAGCCTCCTGTCCTTCCCAAACTGAAACTGGTACTCAGTCACATATTTGTCCACGATTAAATCATCCAGCTCAGGGATCAAGACTACACCAACGTGTGGAAGTTACTTGTCTTAAAGAATAAACAGCAATAAACCTAGTACTGAGTCATGAGGTGCTTCAGTAAATTCTAGTTTTCAAAAGGGGGTTAGTAGTTAGTTCGTACCTTGTCAGTGGCCAACCAGAAAGTTTCCAATCCGCATAAACTGATGTCTGGAGATTCTGGTGCTTTTCAGAGTCAGTAGGAGCCAATTGTTCGTTACTGTATGACAGGCTTTACTGCTAACACTTATTCCTGTTGCTTTTTCGCAAGATAATAGGCACGTAAAAACTAAAGTTGTAGAAAAACGGGCATATTTTGAATCAAAGGCATATGATTTAACTGGCTTACATTAGGAAGCCACAATGATGTTGAGTATTGGACACAAAATAACATTTGCGTCCCAAGAGTTAGGATGTCTGTGTGTGTCGTTATTGCTCTAGATTTATATTTGTTGATCATTCCTTGTTTTTTGTTCCCCGCTCGAATCGACAGCACTCTAAATCCCACCGAAATATTTTCGGCTCTGCAAAGGTAGAATTTTTACGAAAACACGGCACTCCGGCTCGTTTCTTAGTGTCTGAAGCTTCGTCCTTATTAATCTCATTTTGCTCTTCAACTTCTGTGGTAGGCGATTGTTTGTCTTGACTTCTCTTTGGATGTCATTTAAGCATTCTTTTTTTCGGTATTATGCCGAGGGTAGCTGACTTGCTGAAACGCTTCCTCCAATCCCTTCCCTATTAAAATAAGTCAAAACGTCTTTATCATGGTGATAAAGTATGTAATGGAGTGTCTACATAATCAAACTACTCAATACTTGTAAATCGTGAAAAAACATTGTGACTGTATATTCTACCTGATAGCTCTTATGACTCATATTTAGGAAGACTACAGTTTATGGAAAAAGCAATCAAATTCAACGTACCGGTTGTTGGTTTTTTATATGGAATTCATTTATTCGCATTTTGCCATTTTAACTGATGACATGTAAATACAGAGGTCAATCTTTGTTGGAGAGGGTCGGTAGAAGATTGTCGCTCATTCTGGAGTACCTGCTTGGACTCCGACCACGCCCTAATACGGGCACGCATCTGCTTGCGCCTCACTGGACGCAAAAAAACCCATTAGAACCGAACTGAGTAGCGAGGAAACCAAAAGTAGGTTCCAGGAACAACTGAGGTCACGATTAGGTAGTTCTGAAAACGAGGTTGAACCAGTTGTTGCTTGGAAAGCCATACAAACAGCTGTGGAAACAGCAGTGATATCTATCAGTGATTTAAACCAAAGGGTTACAAAGAACCAATGGATTTCTTCAAAGTCTATCACACTGATGGATTCTCGCAAACTCGTCCCATCAGGTTCCGAACATGATGAAGAGCGACAACAAATCAGATCTAGGTTAAGAAAAAGTCTAAGAAACGACCGTGAGCAGTGGTGGGCAATGAAAGCAAAAGAGATGGAAAAGGCGGCGACTATAGGGAACACAAGACAGCTTTACGGACTAATAAAAGAAACTGGAATTGATAAGTCAAGTGTAAGTGAGATTATATCGGAAAAAGACGATACTCTCATCTGCTCCCAATTCAGACGTTTAGAACGATGGGCGGAACATTTCAGAGAACAGTTCAACTGGCCTTCAGCTATTCTACAACTACCCTCCATTCCCAGACAGTGAATTGAACATTGAAGTAGGTCCCCCAACTCTAGCAGAAGTTCAAAAGGCTATAGTTAATCTGAAATGAGGAAGGGCAGCTGGTTCAGATGGACTGGCTCCAGAGGTCTTTAAGGATGGTTGTCCAATTTTAGCGATCAGGTTGACTAATATTTTAGCTAAGATCTGGGAGTTAGACGTTATCCCACCTAACTGGTCACAATCACTTATCGTTCCAATATATAAGAAAGGGTCAAAATCATCCTGTGACAACCACAGAGGGATCAGTTTAACTAATATAATATCTAAAATACTAGCCTCGATAATTATCAGACGCCTAACAAAGACTCGTGAACTGCGAACAAGAGGGAATCAGGCTGACTTCAGACCTGGTTGTGGCTGTATTGACCACATATTCGCCATTCGTCAGGTTATAGAACACAGACATGCTTATCGGCGTCCGACAATCGTGGTCTATCTCGATCTTAAAGCAGCATTTGACTCTGTAGACCGAGAGGTTCTATGGTAGTGTCTGTCATTAAAAGGCGTACCTCAGAAGTACATAAACTTTTTGAAGGCTCTTTACTCGAACACTACTAGTCGAGTCAGAGCTTATGGCGAACCTTCATCTACTTTTGCAACCTCAAGTGGTGTCCGTCAAGGCTGTCCACTTTCTCCATTTTTGTTTAACTTCGTAATAGACCTACTGATAGAAATAACGCTCTCGTCGACTGAATTTTCGTCCATTGATCTCCTACCAGGAGGTCCACTTATCGACTTAGAATACTCAGATGACATAGTCCTGTTTGGTGAAGACGCTGATAAAATGCAGTCTTTTGATAGCACTAAGTAACAATGCCAGAATGTTTGGAATGCGCTTCTTTCCCTCTAAATGCAAGTTGTTGCTTCAGGACTGGTCTGCGTCAACACCTGAACTAAGGATAGGGAGTGAAGTAGTCGAGCGCATTGACAACTTCACTTATGTTGGAAGTCTGATCAGCCCTAATGGGTTGGTGTCTGACGAAATCTCAGCACGGATTCGAAAAGCTCGCTTGGCTTTTGCCAACTTGCGTCACCTTCGGCGAAGGCGAGATATCCGTCTATCAATAAAAGGACGGGTATACTGCGCGGCAGTCCGTTCTGTTTTACTTTACGGTAGCGAAACATGGCCATTAAGAGTAGAAGACACTCGTAAGCTATTAGTATTTGACCAGAGATGCCTCAGAAATATTGATGGCATCTGCTGGGATCACCGAGTAAGTAATAGTGAGGTTAGACGTAGGGTATTAGGGAATGATGGTAAATCAGTTGATGAGGTTATGAATCTTCATCGACTGAGATGGTTGGGCCACGTGTTACGTATGCCTGAACACCGACTACCACGACGTGCAATGCTATCCGGTATTGGAGATGGTTGGAAGAAAGTTAGGGGCGGCCAAACCAAAACGTGATATCAGTGCTTGAAGACACTAACTTCTAGTCTGAGCCATGTTGGTAGATGCAGACTACTTGGTTGGGGTCCGCGTGACTTTCGTAACCAATGGTTGGAGACTGTTGGTGACATGGCTCAGAATCGATCACAATGGCGTCGGTGTATACACTCCCTGTCTTCCCTTAAACTAAGAGATTAAAATCACTTCATATCTTTCCTTCTACGAACCAATTCTTTCTTCTTGTACTATATCTCTATATGCAATCTTTCTCTAATATATTACCACCTTTGACCTAACCACTGCTGGGAATCCGGTGTTCAACTTGTTGTGCTGATGCGGTATGGCAACCTGAACCGATGCACATATGTGCCTGGTTCTACGTTGTAGCTGACTGACTGACTGACAAAGGGACACCGAATACATATGCACCACACAAGTCACTTGGTTTATGTGTGGGGTGTGGTACTGCCCAGGTGCCCAGACCGAAGTAGGTATCCTAGTAACAGTTCAAGTTAATTCTCCATCGTCCTTTGTTTCCTTTAATTAGTTGAGTGTGTTATCACCACCAAACATATTTTTTTCCTTCACCCTCTCAGTAATAACCACACACTTGGAAACCAAGTGAGACCTTGTTGACGGCTGAATATGACACAGCTAAAGTCTAAACGATTTGATTCTTATTTTCATTTGCAAATAATGGGTTGGATTTGAGCTTGTACATAGATCACTTTATTATACGTCTATTCGCTATGTTTACCCGTTTGTTGGTACATGTTTTTTTACCAGAATATATCGCCAATTGAGTCAGCTGTCACTATCAAACTCATATAGCATCTACCAATTCAGTACCTACAGACGAAAAGTCGACTTATTGACGGTAATAAGTGGTCGTGAGTGTCTACGATGATAATCTACATTTTCTCCCTCGCCTTATTGTGTGGAAAAGTGAGCGCATGGGATTCTGGAGAACTCCAAATGTTTGATTTAGTTGAAGAAGTCAAGGAAAATTTTTATGACTTTCTGGGGGTTTCTCATGTAAAGTTGAGTTTTATTTAATTACAATATACGCGCAGACTGCTGATATTTCTGAAATAAAACGTGCTTACCGAAAGTTATCTTCTAAACTTCATCCAGACAAGAATCCAGATGATCCTACTGCAGAACAGAAGTTCCGAAGGCTTGTAGGTATTTACGAAGTCCTTAAGAATTCGGAATTACGTTCCAAGTAAGTATATCGGAGAACATTCCCTTATTCTTTTTAGATATGATGAAGTGCTGATAAATGGTTTGCCCAGTTGGCGAACCCCAGTATTTTACTTTAGGAAGCTCCGCAAAATGTCTAACTACGAACTGTGTGGGTTGTTCTTTGGAATGGCTACCATAATTCATTATGCTACACTTTGGGGCTCAGTTTTTGAGAAGCGGCTTACTTTGGTATGAGAGTTCACTTCTATTCATACTGTTTAGGAAGATCAGCTTAGCACTTCTTTAAAACGTCACAAAGCTCGTGATCGGAAGTTGGAACTAATAAACCAAGAGATATCTGACGAACTTCAAAAGATTCCCGCTCCCGGATGGTTTGATTTGCTTCCGTTCGCTATTGTCAGATGGATATATGCTATCATCACATTTATTCCTGTTTTCACTGAATTTATTAACGGAAAGATTTCTGAGAAATTACAAGAACGTCGTGAACTCAGGGAAGAAGTTCGAAGTAGGCTCTTACAAATTATTTATCTGCTTATGGGTAAATTTTGTAAAAATGGGTCTTCAACATATGATTTACTGGGAAGTTTAATTGCATTAACGTGGCACATTAGTTGGATATTGCATCTAAGATTCTATACAGTGAGCGAAATTAAATTGTGGTTTCTAAATATCATTCTTAGTCATCTTGGTAAATGTTGAGCAAAAGTAGCAAGATATGAAGATAAATGTATCTTAACTAGTGCCTTCATATCTCGTGTCCAATTGGAAGTTTATAGAACTAACATATTTCGTCAGTTGAACGCGTCGTTTGCCGTACAACTTAATAATACCGTTCGTTGTTAATTCCAGTGTCCAACTTGTTAGTTTTAAATAGTTCAGTAGGACTGAGTAGCTTACTAAAACCCACTGAAGAAAATATTTATGTTAGGTAAATGTGACGACAGATTTTTCGTCACGATTTATCACTAAACTCATTTCTAAAAGTTGAGTATTTTGACCTCTAAACCATCGTTTCTATCATTTCTAAGGAATTAAATAAACTCGTTCACGAGTCCTTGGGAATGAGCCACACTTGAAAGCTAGTGATACTACCCGGTTACCTAAACCGAAATAGGTGGGACGTGGTTCAAGACCAGAACTGTGGCTGAAAGTCGAACACCTTGACCACTGAAAAATTGCTTCTATGGCATAATGTTTCTCAAGAAAACCAATATATTAATTCTCCTGACTCCCTTTTGTTATTTTAATGTGTATCAACTTAAACCGAAAAAGATCCCAGTTTTGTGTTTATCTATCTAGAGCTAGTTATATACTTCTTTTATGTCTTATCTATCTACATTTTAGTTCTTCAAGAAAAAAAAGAAAAACTTAAGGCTGATAAACAAGAACGCAAACGTCGCTTAGTACACGAACAAACAATCCTTAGAGAAGTTGTAAAGGAGGCTGGCCAATCAACTTTGAATTCAGTCCTTACAGACATTCCTAATATTGAGACTGAGAGTTCTGATGAAGATTCAAAAAGTGAAGCAAAAGATCCTGTTTATCGAGAAGTACGTCTATCTTTACTTCGTTTATAACATTTAGCAATAATTTCAAGTTTTCGATTTTGCAGCTGCATAGCGTACATTCAACGGCTTCATCCTAACGAAACTAGTTTCGATTTTCGAGAAATGATTTCGTTATATGCTGATGTATTAAACGCACAACTTTTAGTGTCCTTGTATTGATAATCGTGTTTCCAGTTGCATCTCTATTTTACCCAAGTGGGTAAGCTCATTTCAATAACATTCCACGAGTGGTTGGGTATAAATAGTTGACAGTATAATGATTGATGTACTAAAACAAGACTGATAAAAGGTTTTATCACCGTCACATTTTCTCACTATTAACAAGACTTGGTTGTTAAAATGACGGGTGAAATAGCACCCGATTGGTACCCTAAAACGATATAATCCAGCCTCGTGGTAAATAATTTGGATATCGGATTTTTATATCTTCATTAGTATTCCGTGGACTGCGTGGGTTACAAAAAGACTAGATAATAAGTATCACTTAGTTTCATGTAATAAACACCATGATATACAGATGTATGAGAAAGAATGAACATAATCAGAAGTTATAGAAAATATTACCAATGGGCACCGAATGATACCTGGTAATCACTATATAAGCAGCAAACTGAATATTTCAGATTTCATACCATATCTCTTTCTGTTGGGATGGACTTGTAACTTCCTAAAGACATTGGACTATGGACTGGTAAATAAAAACAATCAACTTGGCAAAAAGTGGTCTTCCTAACTAATTTTCAACATTTTGTGACAGTCAAAGCGAAAATAAAGACGACAGTAATGCAAACATGCAATAGGACCATGTCGCATTAATATCACTAGAATAATGATTCTCCTAGCACATCTCGACGTTAGAAATAGATTGGCATTAATATGATCCTTATTAAGTTTGTGGCACTTCATACCGTACCCCACGTAACCCATTAGCTGTGCCATTCCTATCTGGCCAAGTATTCTGTGACTTTGTACGACTGTGAGTATCTCTCTCCTAACTTGTTACGTTGTCTATTTTCGTTACACAATATGTCTCATATTTGCGAGTTGGCTAGTAATTGCTCCTCCACACCGCGTATGCTTATTCACTCTCGGTTTGTCTGTTCATATAATGCCTGAAATATACGTATCCGGAAGTCATCTGTAATTTGACTTTTAATATACCGTGATCCCAAACTTGTAAAGTCCACAGGTTATGTGCGAAGTCAATAGAGATATATTTTTCACTAGCATCATCAGCCAGTGGATTCAACTCGTGATTATAAACTATATCACCTGAAGTATTCAACCACTGATTTCTCATAAACATCAGACGAAAATCTTATACTTTTCAACATACTTCAAAGCTAAAGTTATACACATAACGGATTCATGCTATCTTAATTTGAACTCCATGACGCTTCTACTATCTTACTACAATTCTAACTGGCACCACGTGTCATGGCGAGAGTGTAGTTATGTACGTGCATAATTATCTCACCTAACCTACTTTTAATGTTTCTGTGAACTTCATTTCATCTGTAATTTTGACTTCAGCATAACTCACTTGTTGGTTCAACTTAATTAAATATATACTTTTGTGGATACTTGTGAATGGTGCCCAACAGAAGATAGTTGATTAGCAATCTAATTGCTCCACCTTAATAGGAGTTAACTGAATACGGTGAGCAATTTTCTCAAGAATTTTAATAGGCGATCTAACTGAACATTGAAGCATATCGTTTGGTTGGAGAATTGTTTTCTGAAATAATAAACTCGATGACCATAAGACCGTCTATCATCATTGATAATACTCGATGTCGGCAGGTTATGGATTATGCAAAACATTTTCTTCTGTAAATTAATGTCCAGCCATTGTATTTAGAATGTCTTTCTGTGGAACTAACTATTCTCAAAAATTCCAACCAAGGGTTACATTTAACCAGTTTAATTTCTCTATATTTGATTAAATCGTTCACTCGAGTAACTTTAACAATGATTGTGAATTCATTGTGATATAAGGATTTTTTTTATGTCTGATTACTCTCTGCTTACTATTCTACCATTATTTGTATATTTTCTTTGTCGAATGTTTAGATAATTTTAATTTAAGATACAGAACAATGGTTTTCAATATTATATTTATCACTAAAGGTTAGTTTACCATAAATATGCTTCTGCTTTATTTTTCAGTGGTCAGAAGTGGATAGAGACAATTTAGTTCGTGCAGTAATTCGATATCCTGGAGGTGTTCCTGGGAGATGGCAACGTATCGCAGAATCTCTTGGTCGTAGTGTTCCTGATGTTATTCGTAAAGCGAAATATATGAGTAAAGAATTAATGTCTATTTCTCAAAAAAGTAGGTACTATATGTCTACTTTCTTATCAAGATTTCAACAAGTTTTCACTTGTAATAGTAATAATAGTGCTATTGCCTTTTCGTTTTTAATACAGTGATGGAATTTACACAAATTGTTTTATGAGTGAATTAACCAAGTTGATGTTCTTGTTCCTTTTGTTTAATTAATCATTATAGTAATTGACATCATAATTCTGCACAGGGGATTTTGTATTTTAATCATTATCGTATCATTCTTAACTAATAGTCACTTTCTATTTGAGCATCATGTGAAAAAGACATGTGAAACTGATTGCTGTGTCAGATTTTTTTTAAATCAATTATTATTTGACTAACTATGATAATTAGGAGTATTTGAACTATAGTACAAACTATCAATCCCAGAAATAACGCAATTAGATCGAGATGTAGTAGATAAGCACGAACGAATGTACTGTATTTGGAATTCGAAATCAAGCATTCAACAAGTACAAAGGAATCATTAGTTCATACAAACACCACATCCCCCACAGCTCAAATGAGAATCCTAATTTCTGCAATCATTTGTATCTCTTCTCCTTAGATTAATCGTGTCTGTCTGACCGTGTATTGGATGTAGACTCTGTATGATCTAGAATATGCTCATTAATATTCAAATTAACAGCGGAAATTGGAATGGATTCAGCTGGGTCCTGGAATTGTATACAATCGTCATGTCGGTTTTGTATTGAAACCACTGATATCTAGAATTTGAACCATAGATATTCCAACACTATCCTCCCCCACGAAATAATGTTGGATCTTCATATCCCTAAGTTATGAATGGTGTGACTTCATTCAAAACATATTTCTCACACTGACTGGGGTATTCATTAGAAGTGACTTCAGGATAAGAAGAAGCAACAGTTAATATGAAATCATCAGAATTATAATCAAGATCGAGTTCATTTAGTACTCGTGCTTCGCACTGATCAAGTTTCCCACAGGAAGCAAATGCATTATGAGAATAGATAATATATGATATGATATCAGGATCTAATTCTTTTGAAATATTTTCCTCAAATTTATTAAGAATGTCATCGGAGAGCGCCATTTGTTCCCTCAGGGTACTGGAGCCCATGTGCACCATTGGTTTGAAATCAGGGTTTTCCAACTCCCGTGGGCGGACTCTCCATGTCTACCAATCCGGTTAAAGCGCCGGACATTCGCCTTTCGTCCCTCTCATTTTCGTAAACAACAGTAATGCCACGAGAAGGCAGTGAGTAGGACTTCCCTGGCAGAGGCTATATACGCGTGACCATGTGAGAGCATTTCGAAAGGAAGAGTGGACTCTCCCCACTCTCAGCCGTACCAGGGCATTTGGGGCACAAAGACAGTTTAGTAAAGAAATTAATTTCAATAGTCATTGAAAACACTTTTCCTCACTTAATTATTCTTGTTTTCGAAGTTGTTTGCCTATAAAACCCCATTACAAAGTAAGGGTTTACATTTTTGATCGAAGTATAAGTAATCAAGCACTACTTATATTAATTTCATGGCTAATATTTAAACTCAATTCTGAAAGATAATGTACCATATTTCTAAAGTCCGTGTATAACTGTATACAATAACAGTTAAGACTACTAAAATCAACAGTTTGTTCCTTGGTTAAAATCTTTTCACTGCCAAGTGTTCTGAATTTCATTTTCGTTTTGGGCTCTGTTTGCATGACTGTTGTAACGAAATATTGTTATTAAAAGATACATAATAGTGTGCCCTAAATCATGTTTAGTTGTGAAACGATAGTCAAGATTAACTTATAAAAGAAAACTGTCGGTATTCGAGCACTTATGCTGCTTTTTGCATTTAGTGTCGAAATTATTCCATCCATTTGCTGAAAACTACAGAAAAGAAATTAGTGCATAATATCACAAACATATGAAACCTTTGTTTAATCACAATCAAGCCAAAACCGTTTCATGTACTGTTATTTTTCTTTACGTTAATAACATTATTTATGTAACTGGTAACTTAATAAACATAATTTAATCATCATCTAGGCTTTGAGAAGTTAGAGACACTTGTTAACTGCCTAAACCAGTACATCATTCTGTCAGATATATGTAGCGGGTCCTATTATATTAGTTTTTATGATGAGGTTTGAATATAGCACCTGTCACTCCAAGCATCAAGAAATATATTTACCAGGTCACTTGAGTAGTTATATTCGCTAGCATAATCATTATTTTATACTTAACTCTTAATCATAGATTTATGGAAAGTATGATTTCATGTTCCATGTAAATTGCGAGCTACAATTATTATTTGAGCACAAACATTTGTACAAGAAGCCATCAAGTATTCAATATTCCATTCTCGTATTTGACTTATTTAATTCCGTTATTCACCAGCGCGATTTAAGTCGATGAAATATATGAGGACAGCCGACATGTGTATTTCGACGACAATCAGCGTACAGTCCAATTGGAGTCAGATATAGGGCCACTAAATAATAATAATAATGGGAGAAGCAGTACAGGTTTGAAAAATACAAGAAAGAATTCTTCTAATTCAAGAAGTTACTCTCTTCTTTATGAAGAAATAAATCTACAGCAGGATCTCTATTGATTTCTATTCTGAGCCATTTCTGATGATGTCTCGAGCCTTTGTGTTGCACCATCTCAAGGACTCCAACTAGGGAGTCGTGAAGGACCGACAAAAGCCAGCCCTGTACAGTTTTCTTTCATACCACGACACCATGTTATACACTGACCACCTCTCCGCTTTTTCCAACCAGTCCCGACGTCGGCAAATAATCCACGACGTGGAATTCTCTGTGACGACATTCGGAGAATATGTCCAAGCCACCGACGTCGGTGTTTCAAGATGGTGACACCAATTGCATTATCGTCTCTGCACCCGAACACACGATGCCGAACCTCTGCATTACTAATATGATGTTGTCACTGGATGTCAGCAATCCTTCGGAGACAACGATGACCAAACACAGAGAGTCGTCTAACATCCTCAACTCGGAGAGGCCAGGTTTCACAAGTGTGGAGGGGAACTGCTCTCACCGACGCGTTGTAGATTCGACCTTTTACAGTCAGACTAACATCACGAAGGCGCCAAAGATGGCCCAGATTGGCATAAGCCGCTCTGGCTTTCACTGTACTTGCATTGATCTCATCACTCACGCCACCACCAGCACTTATGCAGCTACCTAGATACACGAACTTCTCGACTACTTTATCTGCTCACCATCCAGACAGTACAGGATTAGAATCCTGTCAGTCTTGTAGAAGTACTTTGCACTTCGGAGGTACAAAGCATATACCGTACCTACGGACATTGATTACCAACTGGTTAAGTGCGGATTGCATGGCTTGGGCATTATCGCACAGTAAGATAATATCATCCGCATACTCAAGGTCGAGAAGTCTTTCTCCAGGCAACAGATCTACACCGCCATTACTTACATCCATCAGAGCTGTTTCCAGAATGTCATCGATGGCAAAGTTGAAGAGGAATGGTGAGACTGGACAACCCTGTCTAACCATACTGCTTGAATGGAACAGTGGAGAAAGGTGGTTGCATGCCCTCACTCTACTTGAGGTGTTTGTATATAGGACCTTTATGGTGTTAATAAACTTCTCAGGCATACCCTTCTTCAATAGACAATCCCAGTTAACAGTCCTGTCCAACGAATCGAAAGCAGCTCTAATGTCAAAGAACATTACGATTGTTGGCCTGTGATAAGTGTGATGGTGTTCTAACATTTGACGGAGGGTGAAGATAGTATCAATACATCCTCGACCAGAACGAAACCCAGCCTGCTCCTCGCGAGTCAATCTTTCTCGAGTTTTGAACAACCTACAAAGTATGACGGAAGCCAATAGCTTGGACTCAGTTGGAAGTAGACTTATCCCCTGATAGTTGTTACAGGAACGACGTGAACCCTTCGTGAACAACACAGTCAGTTCCTTAGCCAGGAAGTCACCACCATCTTTAAAAAGAGCCAGAGGTAAGTCATTTGGGCCCAGTGATTTGTAGTGCTTCAAGAGTTGGAGTTCCTTGTGGACTTCCACCTCGTTTGGTAGATCAATCGTCACCGGCCATGGAGGGTAGGACAATCTGACCGATGTTGCCGGAGCAGCAGGCCAGTTGAACTGCCTTTCGAAAAATTCTGCCCATCGTCCAAGACGTCGATGAATGTTAGTGATTGGCATCCCATCATCCTCGCAGATTTTTTCGCTCACAGCAGACTTCTTGCTGCCAGTGGCTCGGATGAGTTGGAAGAGCTTCCGGTAGTTACCAGATGCAGCTGCTGCTTCCAGCTCATTAGCACGCTCCGACCACCAGGTTCTCGGTCCTTACGCAAGCTTTTCCCGATCTCATTACGTGACAGCCTTCGTTTGTGGTCAAACTCACGGTCATTTGGAGTAAACCGACGGGCTTCGATGAGTTGTAAGGAGCCTGAAGAAACCCAGTGCTTATAAGCGGGACGTTTCGCGAAGCCGCAAGCGGCTTCATGAAGTTGCAACCAATGCTCTATACTTCTATACTTTTTGGTGGAATGGTAGCTAGCCTTGAACCTAGCTCGGTTCGATACTCACTTCCAACAGAAGTTGCAACCAACTTGTTGACATCAATCCTTTGGTGACAGTCACTTCGTTGGCCACTGAAAAGTAAGTTAAGATTGGCGCAGACCAAGGTATGATCAGGGTCCAGATAGGTACTCCAAAAGGAGCGTCAATCTTGTACACAACCACGCCAGCTGTAGCCGATCGCAATGTGATCAATCTGAGTCCAGGCTTGGGATGCAGAGGGAGGACGCCAGGTGGCACATCGGCGATGACTGTGCCGAAAGTTGGTGCTAGCCATAAGCAGGTTGTGGTCTGTGCACAGTTGCAGTAGACGGTCTCCGTTATCTGTCCTGCGACCAACAAGTCCCCATCGAACACCTAAATGATTCGCTTCTGTGCCTAGGCGCTCGACCTAAGCATTCAAGTCTCCAGCTAGTACTACAATATCTGTCGAACGCACTTTCTGGAGAAGAACAGATAACTGGTGGTAGAATTCATCCTTGATTGCATCCGGGCTGCAATCTGTCGGGGCATAGTTGGAGATGATGAAAAGACATCGTTTCTCACTTTGATGGAACTTTCTAATCTAACAGCACATAACCGACTGTTAATGGGGATCCAATCGACTAGTGCTGCCTCAGCTCTAGCGCTTAGTGCGACACCAACGCCAGCAAGACCAGACGAAGATGCCACAGGGTCCCCGGATAAACGCACGTAAAACAAGCTTTTTGAAGTGACAGATGGAGATCGAATTTGTAGTACTTCACCTGAGCCTTAAATACGGGTCTCGGATAGACAACAAACGTCGATATTAAGACTTTCCAAAGACATAGCCAGCCCAGACCGAAACAGGTGGTTTTCTTAGGTGGCCACACCCGAGCCTTTGACCTAAAGGTCTGACTCACAAGGCAGTGGAGCATCGTGAGGAGATGCATTCCCATGGTAGCCGGTGACTAACGATTGGTTCACACGCCATTTGTTCCCTCAGGATACTGGGGCCCATGTGCACTATTGGTTTTGAATCCGGTTAAAGCGCCGGACATTCGCTTTTCGTCCCTCTCATTTTCGTAAACAACAGTAATGCCACGAGAAGGCAGTGAGCAGGACTTCCCTGGTAGAGGCTGTATACGCGTGGCCATGTGAGAGCATTTCGAGAGGGAGGGCAGGCCCACCCCACTTTCGGCCATACCAGGGCACTTGGGGGATAGCGCTTGGTGCGGCACCAACGCCATCAAAACCAAATGATGTCACAGGGTTCCCGGATAGACATATGCTAAACAAATGTTTCAGAGAGACATTTGGAGACCAAACTTGTAGTATAGTGAACGAGATCTCATGCACAGAAAACCACGTTATTGTTTAACGCCTTCGTAAAATCTGACAATCACACATTAAATACACTATTTGCACATATTCCTTCAGTTGTCCTTTACTCACTTCATGGTTCTCCCAACACTTGTTATTCCTCTTGCTCTCTGTCTTCCTTCCTGTTTACTCCACGTCAATCTTCTACTGGTAGGCGTTCCACTTCCGTTTGCTACTACTTATATCTGTCAGTCTATATAGTATACACCACAAAAGTACTTCACTGGTTTCGAATACGGGTCTCAGATAGATCACATACATCGATTTTGAATCGACGCCCTGAGTGAGGCTACAATAGTGGTTGGTTAAACGTTTTCACCGTAATTTACCATATATTATGTCCTTTTCTTTTTCTAAGTTATCAATAAAGTTAAGTGTCATTACAAAACCCAAATTTTATGTTATAGGGTATGATTCTGTTTTCTCATAAGGTGATGTTCAATGACAAATCATTAAGGGATCTCACATAAATAGAGCTGTCTACTCTTTACCTGTACTAATGATCAAGTTGAGAGGTTTTTACTTTATGGAATACTGTATGAAACGAGTATATCAGATACTTCATTGCGTCTTCCAGTATATGTAGAAATATATATTTACAAACTGATAGAGTTATAAATAGTGTTATTCGTGTGGTTTTTAAGTACATTTGCGGTTTGCTTACAATATTCCCGTCATTTTTGCCACGACAAATTGTCTAACTTTTTGTTAGCGTTTTTTCTATGTACTTATTATTTTACCAGTTACACTGAAACATTGTCTTTTTTACACTAAATATGGGGAATTTCTCCTCAATGTGTCCCGAACGTCTTAATCATTAAATAATTTCTTTCTACTTATTGCGTTATTATTTAGATATAAATCCTGATGAAATCCCAACCTTTGAAACAAATGTAAATAATTTCTGTGGAGAAAGTAATTCTGAACAAAGTAATAATCAATCAGACGAATCAGGTGAAGAACAATATTCAAAAAAACGACTTCGTAAACGTTTATTGAGACGAAAAGAACCCTGCGTTGTCAATCAAACAAATGGAGAAACTCAACTGAATGCGAATAATGATTTGTCTTCAGGTAAGTTTTTAGCATACACAAGTTAAGTAGTCCTTTAATCATTTTAATTTCAAAATAAGATTCTTTTTATCAATCAATTGATAAAACATAACGAATGACTATAATCTTTTTTTTTTAAAAAAGAACTAGTTAACATTTTTATGCACTTTCCAAATGAAATCCGTACTATGGGAGATAACAGAAATATCGTTAAATCACCATTCCTGCAGAGTATGAAATTTTGTCAACAGTGATCACTCTGAATGCGTACAATCTTTAAGTTCTGTTCTGTGTAGAATTAATCAGCTTGATCTATCATGTCCATGTTTTATTTGTTATTTAAAAAGGAAGGCAATAACTTAAGATTCATTGTTGTTTTCAATCTTGCTTAAACTACTTTAGATGTCATGTATGATAGTGTATGTTGTCTTTAAATATTTGGCATTAGTATTTTGTTGAAATACGGCTTAACGCACGTGTGTTTTCTTAGGGGTGAGGCTGTCAATATAATTTTATAAAATCGAAAAAAATTTGAGTTTATCAAAGAAGTAAAGAATAAATCCCTATTTTAAAATGGGAATATTTCAGATCAAAATAAATCCAGGGTCGTTTTTTCCAAATTCACTAATTTAGATTTTCTCTTTGAGTTCTGTACTTGATGCCTAATCTTTTCTGTTACCACTAATACTTTTGCCATTTCTACTACTCTAGGATCTGCTCTAACAACATGTTGCTGTGCTAATATCGTAATGCAACTTAAACTGATTTAAATACATGCCAGGTTCTAAGTTACGTTTGACTGACTGACGAGTTCAGTATTGATAACATTTTCATCAATTGAGTTCATTTGGAATCGGACTCATACAAGCAACAAACCTGATGTATTTCTAACAAAATATTTTACCATGAAAAAGCAGACCTACAGATTTTTTCTCCTTGAAACTGATAGAAAATACAGTAGTCTTACATTTCCTTTCAGTTGATAATGACCATCAACGAAATTCATAACATGTATTTCGTCCTACCTTAAACTTGTTAGTTAGATCAACTTGAACTTTGGTGATTTATATTGTTCATTCTAAGGTTCAAAATCACCGTACATCTCTTTAGATATTTTTTTATTAACTAGGTTGCAGTGAGTTACGTTAAACTTCTCTTATTTAACCAATATACGCCATTATTGTTGTATTTACTTTCTATACTATTATTATTATTACCTGCTTAATATGTTGTTTGCGAATAGCTTTTACACATGATTGGGCTTGTAACAGTTTGGTGTTTCGTTATTCAAATACATTATCTTCCAATTTTTATCTACTTCTCTTTAATCTGATGTAAATTTAACATCTTAAATACTTATTTCATTTTTTATACTAATCCATTTTAAAAAAAGGCTTGTCTGTGAATTCGTGTCTACTTTTATATGGCTAATTTTGTTGGTTGTATTAATTTATTATTAATTACAGACGTCGTCATAGTTGATGAACCATATATTAGTCGAAAAAAACTCAAACAACAGAAAGATGAAGCAACACTTAAATCTACAGAAATTAAACCTATCAAAAGTAATGATGGATGGACTAAAGTAGAACAACAACAGTTGGAGGTCGCTATACGCTCTATTGGTAAAGGGACACCTGAGCGGTGGGATCGGATCACAGAATGTATCCCAACAAGAACAAAGGTATATTATTATATTTGACTTTTGACTTTTCAACCAGTATTAACATTTTCAGCGTTTCAAAGAATAAGGTTTTAAAGGCTGTTCCAAAAGTCCTTCGAAATTTATTCTCAGCTATTTATCAGTACATCTACTATATGGGGTAGTTCAATAGCACTGGTATTCCGTTATCAGTACAAAACGTTTTTTGAGAAATTGGGTCAGTTTATTCATTTATTTAAACATAGGTACAAGAAGGCACTAAATATATATGCGCCACACTTCGTCATTCGATTTGTGAGTGCTTGGATACTTCCTCGGTGTCCAAATTGAAAGGGGTGGTTTTCTTTGGGGCCACTTCCTGAGCCTTTGACCTAGAGGTTTGATCCACATGGCAGTGGAGCAAAGTTAGGAGATGCAGTCCCATGGTAACCGGTGACCAACAATAGGTTCGTTCACCATTTTTCCCTCAGGATCCTGGAGCCCATGTCCATCATTGGTTTGGAATCAGGGTTTTCCATCTCCACTAGGTGGATTCTCTATATCCACCACCCCAGTTAAAACGCCGGACTTTCACATTTCGTCCTCTCGATTTCGTAACCATCATCATCGCGAAAGTGAGTAGGACTCCCCTGGCAGTGTCAGGGAATAGAGCATTTCGAAAGGGAGAGTGGATTCTCCCCACCCTCGGTCGTTTCAGAGCGTTTGGGGAACGACGATCACTAAACAAACTTTGAAAACGCAAAAGCAAGTGGAAGATTAGTTTAGGTACTGAGAAATATCATAAATGTGCCGTAAATTCCGTCAGGATGTCAGAAACGACAAACAAACTGAACTTCAACCTACTTTAATAGAAATAAATTTCACTCAATTTTTTTCAGTGCTTCTCAGTAGTCGCGATTCACTTCCTCTTTTCGTTAACTTTAAGGATTTGACATATTAATCGGGGATTTTTCTTTGTATGTTCCCGAAAACACCATCGTATATGATAAAGTATAAATACTGCAACCACTTATTAAAATGATTAACCTAATATAAACATATCTATTTATAGATTATTTGATTTGCTCACTTTAATCTTAAAATCAATTCTAGTGTCTCTCATTTACTCAATGGTCGAAATCCTTAATCAGAATAGATTATGTAATTCTTAATCTCTAAATTGTTATTTACTGTTTAAAAATTAATGTATTAACTTAACAAAATTAAACTTTAATAGATGCTTTACTCATTGAATTCAATAATGGCAAGCATAAACTGTGCAAATCTGTGAGAAAGATTAATATATCCAAAGAATTTATTGATTCCACGACACTTTAACGTTGACTTACCAAATTTTTAGTTTTAATGCTACAGTACAGTAGTTGGATTTTTTTATTTACGAAAAATGTGTACATGAATTTGTTAGTTGCTTTATAAAAGGTTCCCTGACCAATTTGTAATGAGATAAAACTATGTTAATGCTAGTAGTGTTGCGTGCCTTCACATGTGTGTACATTTACAAACTTAATAACTATTTTAAACCTGACTAGTTTGACAATAGGATACAAGGTTGAGATTTAATGACTATTTAAAATATGTGACAGTTAAAGCTTTATAATATTTATCTCTCGTTTTTATCAAGGTCAAGAATTGTTGAATAAATTTCGAAACATGCCTGTAGGACAAAATATATTTAATGGGACCTGCACTAAATTTTTGTCGTAAACTTTCACATTCTATCGTACTTAGAAGTAACTACTTACTTAAACCTGTTATCCCCCATGGAGTATTGACTACCTACCACGATCATCCAATGAACTCTATCATGGGCTCTCATTTCCAGTCGTTCCCAAGTGCTACTCATAATCTTGATGTCTGGCTTTTTTTCTTTTTCTTTCGTTGTTGCGAGGTTCGGTGATTTATGCAATCCTCATCCTATCTATCTCCAGCAGAAAGCTGGTTCGTTTCCTGCCACAGTCGATCGTTCTTGATGGTCTCTGGCCACAGGTCCGGGGTATCTTATGTAGACACCTGTGTATAAATATCTATAATTTTCTGACGATGGTTGTTGTAGTTCTCCAAGTTTCAGCTCCGTACAACATAACTTTTATCGTTGATGCTGAAAATACTGACTGAGGTTTTAAGTGATATTCTTCAACTGTAGGAATGGCACTCTTGATTTGAGAATCTGTGCCGTCATATTTGCATCAGATTTTCGTTGTTTATCAGTAATACCCAAATGTGTACCAGCTTCCGCCTCTTCCGGGGCCTCCTCATCAAATGTGATTTGATTGGGGCTCTGTGTTGTATTTCAAAATCCTGCTGTTTCCTTTGTTAATATTGAGATCTACTGCTGTTACACTGGCTGTTTTCATCTGCGTTTTTTTATTGTATATGAAATAGAAAGGTTAAATCATTTAGAATATCCGAGTCGTATAGCTGCATCCAATTTTTCCACTGTGTTTCATGCTTCTCCTGAGATGGAAAAGTCTTCATAATCCAGTCAACAACCAGGATAGAGAAAAGATGAGAGTAGACGGGTTTGGCTGAGACTAGTTTCCACTTGAAACATATCCATCAGCTGCCCCCCCCTCACACACACATACAACTTTACGATACAGTCCGTCGTAGGAGTTCCGTTTAATGCTGACGACCGATTTAAGTATTCCATGGAATTGAAGAATGTCGCACAAGTTTCTCCCATCCATGTTGTCGAATGCTCTCATGATCAAGGAGGTTGGTGTATAGCAATGTATAGCGACTTCGTCGGCACGTGATCTACCATTACGAAATTCAACCTGTTGATTTCGAGATTGGGCGTCTACTGAATCTTTCATTCGGTTGAGAAACACAGTTGGAAACTGTCTGGCATTAACAGTAGTATAATGCCTCTGTAGGTCTCCGTCCTTTCGTATCTTGATGACGTATCCTTCTCTCCAAACTGCTAATATTTGATTTACCTACCAAATCTTTCTAAAGATATCGTGAAGCAGGTACCCGTATATCTGACTTCAGTACTTCAGGTGTTTTGCCGTCTGGTTCTTCTAGTTTAACATTCTTGATTTGTCTGATTCCCTTGTTGATTTCTCCAGTTGTTGTTGGGGTAACATCTGTAGGGAGGTCTGTGTGTACTGCTGTAATATCCGGTGAATTCACTGGAGCTAGTCTATTAAACAGCTCAATGTTCTACCCACCCGTTCCGCTGCTCTTGGATTTCAGTGATTGGTTTGCCTTCCTTGCTCTTGGCTGGTCTCTAATTCACAAAACTTACCTCGACCACTACATCTGTGTGCTAATGTGGTGTGGCAACTCGAACTGATGTACGTACGTACGAAGTTCTACGTTGTTACTGACTGACTGATTCACAAACCTTACCTTCAAGCTTCGTCGTGCCATATGGTTCTCTCATATTTCATCCTCTTGCAGCTTTGCCGTCGTTACTAGGTTTTCTACATATTTCCGCTTGCCAACTCCAATTCTCTTTTTCATTTGTTTTTTTACTTCTGTATATCGGGTCTGTCTTAACTTCTCCGCTCTTTTTCGGATGTTACTGGTTGCTCTTTTCTTTCTTATCGTTAATTTTTTCCCAGGTTATCGATGGATTCCACTCTTTATTCTGGTGCCTTTGTGGCTTAGAACCCTCGCATGTTGAAGTTATTGCTTCTTTGGTCCTTTCCCAGTGTTTCTCTTCGCCACTACCAGGTGGTGATCTGTTGCTGTATCAGCTCCTCACTTTGTAGATCTTTCAATACCTTTTATGCAGATGTGATCGATCTGGTCCTCTATGGCGCGTTTGTAGGGAATAATAGCACCACCTATAACCACTCTGTTGAAAGCACATAGATTTGTCAGTCTCTCACAATTCTCGTTCCCGTTTTCCAGCCCGACCTTGGTATTCATTTCCTCCGCCTTGATGGTCAGGTTTTTTACTGGGCATTTCTCTACGATATACTTGTGCCTCGAAACTAGTCTTTAACATCTTGATCCCCATCAATGGTGGGTGCGTGGCATTGGATGACATTCATTCCAATCTTTTCTTTATTTTGAAGACCCGGCCGTTGCTGCTACCTTGACGTGAAGACCGGGCTTGCTTATCGTGATGAACCCATCGAGCTATACTGGCTGGGAAAACCGTTCCTCAAGGTCTTACCATGCCAGACAGGTCGGTTGAAGGGCGGTAAGATCAAAGGCAGCAAACCCAAGGTCCGAAGGCGAAGCCGTACTGCTGACTGTAAAGAGGTGTGACGGCAGTAAGGTGTTTCCTTCAGACAACCAGCATGACAGCGATGCTGCCTTCCCACAAGGAGGGGTGTGGTTAGGAAAGGTCGACCCTAAAAATGCACACCTCGCCTTATCCCACGGATATCCGTCTCCGGCGGTAAGGTCTCAACAAGTACGGAGCTAACACAAAAATTACTCATAAAAAGGTCGTGTGTAACCGACGTCAAGCAGTTGTCCCTTGGGGACTGCGGCCATGCTCTCAGGTCACTAGGACCACCCCTAACCCAATTTCCTTTTCAGAGACCTCCAGAAGCACCTTTCCACGGAGTGGGCAACCGGGGAATGATAACCGCTTTGATACCTCCAACAGCACTCAAGATCACTGTATTCATAATCAGCTTCCCTTTTCAATTCCTATTATTCTTCCTACATTGACTTTCAACACTAAACTTTCTCTTTTGACTTCCCTTCAAGTGTCACCATAGCCAACGATCCTAGTGCGCAAAACACTGTCCCAGGTCTACTGAAACCTCTCTCCAGACTACACATTGGCGTCTTCAACATGCACACTCTGTTAAATCGACCAGCAGACCTCCTTGTCTAGAATCCTAGGATCTCGTACTATTGATGAAGAGCGTAAAATAATAAAATCTAGGTTAACCAAAAGTTTGAGGAACGACTGTGAATACTGGTGTGCAACGAAAGCAAACGAAACGGAGAAGGCAGCTGTAATACAAAAGAACTTTTCAGACTCGGAAAAAGACGACATTTTAAAGAGCAGATCAGCTGGCCTTCAGCGATTCTACAACTACCCACCAATA